GGAGGAGGAGGAGGAAGGGGAAGGGGAAGGGAAGTGGTTGGGTTGGGGTTGGGTTGGGTTGGGTTGGGTTGGGGAGGAGGGAAGGGTTGTGATGGTGCTAGTGGACGAGAACCGTGTTGTCGTTGCTGACGGTCGCGAGGAATGAGCCCGAGGAGTCGAAGCAGCAGCCGTTGATTCGCTTCTTGTGAACCCGCACCTCCCCACCTGCTCTCCTCCCTCTCCCTCTCTCCCCCCCTCTTCCTCCCCCTCTCCCCCTCGAAGCTTCCACAGCCTCAGCAAGTGTCCCCCTGCAATCGCTCAGCGGGCTCGAGCAGGGCAGGCGCTCACCGAACAGAGAGCTTCCCTCCACGCTCGCGAGCACTCGCCCTCCCCCTAGGCACAGTCACGCCTGCCTCCTGCCTCCTCTTCCTCCTCCTCCCTCCTCTTTGCACCTGGCTGGAACGCGCATCCTGTGACGCTCTGCTGGCACCGAAGCAGCTCGACGACTTCCCCGTCCTCGACGCGCAGGAGCCTCAGCTGCTTGTCCTCCCCGCCCACACAGAAAACTTTCCCGTCCGGGTGGAAGGCACAGCAGGTCACCTCCGAGCTCCGGAGAGAGCGCATGGACTTCTTGCTCTGTTGACACCAAACAGAAGAGGAGGGAAAGGGAGGGGAGGGCAGAGGAGGAGAGGGGAGGGGAGGGGAGAGAGGGGAGGGGTCGGTCAGTACCCTGAGCTTGAGGGGTCAGGTCACCTTGATATGCTTCAGGCAGGGCTCGGGGATTTTGATGTCCCAGATGCAGACGCCTCCATCAGCAGCACCAGAGACGAGGAGCGAAGCAGAGGAGGGGGAGAAACAGCAGCACAGGACCCACCCCGCGTGCTCTCGCAGCACCTTGACGCACTTGCCGTCCTTCACTCGCCAGATCCTCACCGTCTCGTCCGTCGAGCCGCTGCACAGCACTCGACCCGAGGAGTTGAAGCTGCACGCACGTCACGCGACCACGAGAGGAGGAGGGAAGGAAGGGAGAGGAGGAGCTAAGAACCTGCAGCAGCGGATGGAACCCCCGTAGCCTTTGAGGAGGAGGCTGTGCTCGCCGTCGCTCTCCTCCGCCTCCTCTCGCAGCATCTTCTCTACGTCCCACAGTCGCAGAGTCTCATCGGCTGAGCCGCTAGCCAGCAAAGAACCCTGACGGTTGAAGCTGCAGCACGTCACCCAGCCCGAGTGCCCCCGGAGCCGATGAGACCAGCCGTCGCTGAGCCGCCACAGCATGAGGGTCAAGTCGAGAGAGCCCGAGCACAGCACGTCATCTTGCGGGGAGAACGCACAGCACGTCACGCTGCTCCTATGAAGCTTCAGGGATGCGCATTCCTTCGCCATCGCGAAAGGAAGCAGAGGACTGGAGCTTAAGGTGGGAAGGAGGTAGTCGCGAAGAAGCGAGACATTGTCGGAACCTTCTTGCCTGATGTGTCTTCACGTCAGCTCTTCCGCGTCCCTCGTTCCCTTCCCTCATTTCTTCATTTCCTACTGGTCCCGCGCATAATCATTCCTTCACTCTCTGCTCCGCTTCCCCTACTTCCCTTCCCTTCCCTCCCCTCCCCTCCCCTCCCCTCCCCTCCCCTCCCCTCCCCTCCCCTTCCCTTCCCCTTCCCTTCCCTTCCCGTCCCTGCCCTGCCCTGCCCTGCC